TTCCAAATCTATTGAGTGTCCAAAATTCTTTGCCCATGCAATCATAGTTCCTTTAACTTGTCAAAACGTTTTCCTTAAGTGGCCAACAGTGTTTTCGCTCTTACCAGTTGTGGTGGTTACAGGGTTCACTTTGGTAAGGTCACTGATGCAAGAGAATTGTTGTTGGTCACTCAGAAAAGATTCAACTTCTTTCCCCAAAGAGTTATCCTCCCCATTGTGATGGGCAGTGGTGCCATTGACCTGAAAGCAGAGACAGAAGAATTAAGAGACTAAGGCAAGTGAGATATCATTCCAAACACCTCCAGATGTCATCTGCAAGAACCCAGATTTAAAACATGAATTAAAAAAAAAAATCTGCATTCCTGCCATGAAACCTTGTGGGATTTGTATTGTATGATTTCTGCCTCTTCATTTTACATGAATTTTGCCCTTCTGGCTTCATGCAATATCACATAAATGGAACCCAGCTCTGAAAAAGTTACCAAACCCTCCAGTTTAAATACTAACATGATATCTCACCCCAATGCATGTAAAGCATCAATTCAGAATATTTATGGAATAAAAGAAGCTACTTTAGGTCTGGCCAAATTGGGATTGGTTTCACAGAGTGAATTTCAATAGAGAATAGAGAATTTCAATAGTAAATCCTTAGAGTGGTTTCACAGAGTGAAGGATGGTTTATCGACATCGGAATCTGGTACAATGACATCAGATGCATCGTAACATCCACACCTGTGATGACATATGTGGATGTTATGATGTAGAAATGAATATAAATTGTATTACTATACAACATAACCCTTTGTGAAGAGAGGGAAGAACTTAACAGAGAAAATAACAGGAGGGAAAACGTAAACTTGTGCCTGAAGTAGTAAGCAAGCACCTGGTGTAGCTTTAAGGCTACCATCTGTCAGTTGCTCCAGAGTGGGTTGAAGCAAGCAATCAACAAGTATGCTTTCAGGCTGATTTTTTCCCCTTGCCCTTCTCATGCAACTTTCCACAGACCATTCCTGTGCAAAAATGTTCTGCTTCCGTTTTCCCTTCAGGCTTTCCTCCTCTCTCTCCTAATGCATGTGTAACAATCTGGAGACTGATGTGTTTTACTGGAGAATCTTAAATCTTAACCTCTGGGAGTCCCCAACAGTGGCAGAATGTTGTATGTTCTGTAAACAGCAAAAGCCTTGTGCAGGCTAGTAACTTTTATGGGTTTATGTACAAGACTGTAATATTATTATTAATGGAGTCCATGTCCTGGTGACTTTATGGGATCTCCATGTAGTTTTCTTGGCAATGTACAATAAATGGTTTGCCACAGCCGCCTTCTGGAAGGTTTTTCAACTCCCTAGTCTAGTCTACAGCTGTAAGATTCCTTAGAGTCTCCCTACAAAAGTTAACTGGGCCTAAATCTGTGAGCTTCTGTGCCAAGACAAGGTTGTTTATTATCATTATTAGGCAAACACTAAATTCTCCTGCAAATTTGCCAGGAGAGAATGCTTGTAGTCTATCACAAGGATCTTGATGCCCTGAGAACTCTTACTTGCAAATTGCCATTTTAAAACATGTAAGAAACAAGACGGATAAACCATAAGTGCACTAAATATTGTGTTTTGTAAATCAGAGTTTCTGACTTAGAACTATATAGGAACCAAACAATATTTGTTGAACATAATACATTAGAATAAAATATGGTTAAACATTGGAAAAACAATTTATGATTGCATGTGTTGGGCAAATCCTGGGAATATGCTAATTCTGGAAACCATGATAGAATTAACCATTAGTTAGTGCACTGCACAAGCAAAGCCTATGGGACCAACCTTAAACTGAACCATGGTTTATACCATCTGACTTGCTGAATAAGTCACAAAGGCTGTGATACAGGGCAGACCTACAAATCACAATGGCTGAGTTTATCTATCACATTAAGCCCAGATGTGACTTCTTTTATTTTTACTTTCTATGCTTTGTGAAGCCAACCACTGCAGTTAATAAACTCTGCCTTAGGGTTTACCATGTGCAACACTGGATTACTGGAATCTGATTCCTTTATTCTGTATGCAAATGCAGCAACACGTTGCCTCTTATTCAACCCCAACTGTGCAAAGAAAGGGATTAACACTGACCACAAATATTGGCTAGGGAACAAACCTAGTCAACAAGCACTGGCTTCTGACCTTATGATTTAATTTAAATCATGCTAAACCCTAAAACTCTCAAAACAGCCAAGAAGAATAAACTACTGTATTGTTTATAGTCAGGAACAATAAAGCTACTCTGTCTTTAACATTGAAGATCTACTGCCATTTACTAGGCCCTTTTATGAATGATAGCTGCCCTTCAAATAACCTATGATCCATACAAAGGGTTGTAAACAAGACTTCTTCTCCCCGCCCCAGACTGCTTTAAAACAAAGCACATATTCAACATTCGGGATTTAGGAGTATAAAAACTGTCTTCTTGAATCAGGAAGAAATCTCTCAATTCTCAGTGCTTGCCTCTTTTTTCTGCCTCAAAGTAGAACTTCATCTAGGGAACAGGCATGATATTTCTGGGACCCCCCCATGGCTGAGACTTAGTGGAACTGCAGTATACGTAAACACTGGGCAAAAGCTCTTTGACTGAAAAAGCGATCAAGAAGCTGGTGGACACAGAAGACTGTGATTGTAGCACAAAGTGCAACTGAAGACAAAAACACAGCAATAATTCTTTCAAAGATCTTTGATCAGTCACTGGTAGCCCTTAGGCCAAATCTGCCTCCTGGATATTCATCAAGCAAGAAAAAGATAAGCAGAGAAAGCCACAACAGTTGGAAAGGGACTTGGCAACAAGGTCTGGATTTGAGTGGGATGTTGGGGTCCTGTTGTTAAGCAACCCAATCCAGGCTTGGCAACACAAACCAACACAGTAGTTGATTGAGGTTCCCCCTAGAATCAGGAAGTTTTGCCCCAGATTTTCAGTGGGAGCATTCCAGACGGCAAAGATGAAGTTGTGGCATGTTGTGTCTTGGTTTACTGAAAATAACACAACAGGGACCAGAAAATTCATTGTTAAGCAGGGTGGTTGTTAAGCGAGACATCACTTGACTGCACCCAATTTTACGACATTTTTTGTGGTGGTCATTAAGTGAATCATACAGTTCCCCATTGATTTTGCTTGCTGGAAGCCAGCTAGGAAGGTCGCAAATGGCGATCACGTGACCTCAGGACACTACAACCATTGTAAGTGTTAGCTGGTTGCCGAGTGCCCAGATTGCGATCACATGACCGCAGGGATGCTGCAATGGTCATAAGTGTGAGGACTGGTTGTAAGTAGCTTTTAGTGCCGTCGTAACTTCAAATGGTTGCTAAACGAATGGTATTTAAGCGAGGACTACCTGTATTTAGTTGGGTTCATACTATGTGTAGCCATAAACTATGGTTTCAACAAGATTTCACACGTTATGCCAGACTGTTAAATAGATAGAGACCTGAAACAGCCTTAAACATTCCCCAGTTAGGTTGCCCCCACCCTTTTCATTATGCCTAAATCTTTAATGTAAGCAATTCCTATTGAAATGTATGGAGCTTTTCATATAAACACAATGATTTTTTTAGAAAGCCACTTGCCTCTGGTCCATAAACTTTACCACCATGTGACCAAGCAGGATATTTCAATTTTTCACAGACTGGAAATAGACTACCCTTTGGGATGGAAGTTCCATTTAGTTATGACACTTTACCCATCAACATAGAACTGACAATCAGGGAGGCCACCTGGAACTATTACATAACTGAATGGGCTTATTTTAGACATCAGCAGATTTAAAATTTGGTATTTAAATTATAGCACTTTTCATTTCAGACTGCAAAGATTTGCGCACAAATGTATATACAGGTTGGATCACCAACACACTACACCAAATGCAGTTTGATTTTTTTTTTTATGGCTGTCTATTATGAGAATTAAGCCAGTATGGTTTGTAAATTACAACTGACTTTAACGGACTGTGCAGACAGAGTCACCGCCTATAAAAAGGCCCTACCTGTTATTTTTTTAAAATAACCCAGTGTTACTATTGGATAGCTTACTATGAAATCCTAAATACTTTTGCAAATGTTGGGATTAAGGAAAGGCAGGCCTCTTAGCTGTCGCTTCTCATGCAGTCTGGCAACCCATTTTTTCCAAACGCTGCTTCTTCCCAGGTTCTTCCCCTCCCACTCCTAGTTTCGCCATGAGAAGCAAGAAGGAACTTCGTACATGCGCAGCCGAACTCTTGCTCCGTTCACCTCTCCTTTTATTTCTAAAGATTTGAGAGAAGGCATATTAATGGTGCAGAACCGAGGCATCGGTGCTGGAGTTTAGCCGTGGGGATGGGGC